GTTTTCACTTCAGTAAACAAGGTTGGTTGCCCCAGCTGCACAGGAAGTGCTTGATCACACATAGGTGGGAGGTACATAGACAGGAAGTACATCCGGATGCTTGCCTCCAATTGGATGAAGGCAGGAAGCACTGTCGTCTTGTGGGGTGTGCCTTTACGAATACCTAACAGCCTAAGTCAGTGCCATTCTCTGGAAATCTCAGGTGTAGACTTGGCCAGTGTCCATCTTCCTGGCCAGTATTTAATAAAGCTTGCTTTAATTGGATAATCATTTGGTCTTTCTCCTTGAAATTTTCAGGTCTAACATGCTCCAGCCCCCAAAGCTTTTGTAAAAGAAAGAGGTAAGTATGGATAAGTTCAAAGTCCAAATCCCATGCTCAGGCCTGAGGCATTCGCTGTCTGTCTCCAGGTGTCTGAACTAATGTCTGTCAAAAATGAAGAAGGGAAGGATGATCAAACTGTGGCTGCTGTCATCCAAGAGGACATCCCAGAGCACCGCCTTCTAACCATGCTGGCTCTCTGTTGTTTCCTTCCACTGGGCCACCTAGCCTTAATCTGCTATCTCAGGGTGACACTCTTTGCAATTCCTCTTCACCCCCTCTCTCTGCCCTCCCTCCTCCTGCTTCCTGTAGATTCAGATCCACACCACATGTTGAGTGCTCTCAGCTTCCCACTTCACCCTCTATCTTAGAATCCTTTAAAAAAAAAAAGATGTTTTAATTACGTGTATCATATATGTTTGTTTGTGCATGTCCAAAGGCACATGTGTCTTCAGAGTCCAGAAGGTGTCAGATTCCCCTGGAGTACAGGAGTTATAGGCAGCTGTGGGCCCCTAACATAGGTACTGGGACCTGAACTCAGAACTCCTGTCAAAGCAGTGTAGGCTCTTAACCACCAAGCCATCTCTCCAGCTCTTGTCTCAGAACCCACAAAACTAATCTTTTCCCCTCTCCCCTAAAACTCAGACAAGTTTTAAAGAAAAGAATGAATACGAAAAGGCCAAAGCCTCCTCCAGATACACCCTCGGTTTTGCCATAGGCTCCATTATTGGAGGATTCATCTTTCTTCTCTTCTTACTATTACGATTTTTCTTACTGTAACCTCTGTCACCGCTCATGGACTGACCATCAGATACATATAACACAACTGACCCAACCTGCAGCTTTGGATTTCCCTGGAAACCTTCTCTTTAATGTCTGGAGTGCCAAGCTGATTGAGCTCAGAAATAAAATGTGTAACAATGATAGCTTGCAGTTCCTAGAGCCTGTGTACTACTCTATCCGGCACTTCAGATGCCAATTGATGTCCTAAAACTAAATTCAATTTTGACTCTACCTACAACAGGTCTTCATGGACTCCAGTGGAGTCCCAGAATGGAGTCCAGAATGGTCTAAATGGAGACCCAGAGTGAAGGCAAGGATGAGCCACTCCTGAGAAGGAGGGCATTTCCCCTGAGTCAGCTCACTGGCCCTGGGTCACTTTTGGGGGAGGGGGTGTTTGGGTGGGTTTTTTGTTTGTTTGGTTGGTTGGTTTGTTTTGTTTTGAGACGGGGTTTCTTCTTATAGCCCTTGCTGTCCTGAAACTCACTCTGTAGAAGAGGCTGGCCTCCAATTGACAGATATCTGCCTACTTCTGCCTCTCCAGTGCTGAGATTTAAGGTGAGCACCACCACCACCTATCCTTGGGTCACTTTTGATTGGGTGATTTTCCTCATCAGTATGACCCACAGTTCCTTACGTGTTTACATGGTGTCATATTTCATTGATGCCAAAAAATATTACTTTTACCTTGTTAGCTTCTGCATATTTTTTATTTTTATAAATATTCTTGAACATTTTGCTGGAGTACATTGCAACCTGATCCACCCAGATCTTCTCTCTACTTCTTTCCCATGAGCATCTGAGAATTATTTAGTTAATGACTAGTCTTACTCAGGCCTCTGTTAACTCTCAAACCCCAGGACAAGTGGATGAGGGGCCTTATTTAACAGATCAAAGCAGCCCTGCCCACCAGGTTCTTCCAGCATCCTTCATTCCCTACCCTTTACAGGGTATGGCTGGCATACTCTGCCCTCTACCCCAACTCTCTGGCTCAGGGCCTGGGCTGCCCTTCCCCCATAGGCTCTTCCTTATAGAATCCAGCCATTTTGGTTACCCACCCCTTTTGTACCATTGGGCCTCCTGGCTGCTGCAGCTGGTTTCCCTCTCTTCTCTCTGTTAACTCCCCCTCAGCCCACATGGCCTACATCATCAGGGTGAAGTCCACTCTGGCCTCTCCCAGATGTCCATGCCTCTGCTATGCTCTCCCTTTTACCTACAGTTAATGGTCTCCTCCACCATACCTAGGAGCAGTCATGGCCTTTCCTTTTTTATTTCTTTTATTTTTTCATTCACCCCCTCCTCAGTGCTCACTGAAGGAGGAAATGTTCTCACTTTGGCATGTGGGACCTTCCCCATTTTCCTTCATCCTCCATGGCTCAGAAGATACTGAACCCTGGTAGATCCAAATGGCTGATCCTTCAGCCTGGGCTAGCCTCTTCCATGTGTCCTGTGTCAACATGTACTCCGCGCATGGCAAAGCTTCTGCAGACTTCTGGGTTCTCTTCGTGTCTTGTTCTCTTTTTTGTCTTGTGAATTCTAGCTTCTCTCAGCTCTAGCCTTTGTCCTCAGCTTGAGATGTATCAAAGGCTCTAGTGCCTTCCCTCCTTGCACAAACACCTGGTCTCCTTGCAGGACAATTTCAGGACTCACCTGTTACCTGTCTAGCCAGCCATTTTGTGATATTACTGACATTATAAGGAAACTTTCTCATGCCCCAAGTGGATTTCTATTCTGTTATTCTCTGTGCTTTGGTGTTCTTGGAAACCAGTCACAATAGAATTCAGTTAGAACTGCTTTGTATAGTTAGCCACAATCATCTTGGACTCAAACCAACTTCCTACAGCACTTCCTGCACCTACATATAAGCTTTTATGCTTTTGCCCCTAGGATGGATCCCAACACAAGAGAGACACCTGCACCAATATAAAAAGCTACTTGGAATTAGACTTCCATTGTGAGTAGGGGTCAAGTAAAGTCTTAAGTTCCCAAGACCTTCCTGGGAACAGACATTCTACTCGATAGGAAGAGACATGTATGTGGGTAACTGACATCCTGGCTGGCAAGTTAAGACATGAGTGTTAGGCAAGGCAGATCTTCTCCCACAGTTGAATACCCCAACCAATGGGAACAGGATAAATGTACAACAAAGAAGTCTTCCTAAGGAAATCTCTTATCCCTAAATCCTGATTGGTGGAATGACTTGGCACAGATGTTTGTGGATTTCATGCTTAAGAGGTCTGTAGGATTCTGACTTAATGTCCCAATCAGCTCCTGAGCCTGGTTGTGGCCCTTGATCAATCTGTCCTAGGACTAATGTTCAATAAACTATCCTAGACTGAATAGTGTTTGTTTGTTTGTTTGTTTGTTTGTTTGTTTTGTGAGGCAATCACAACACATCTACTCCCCCCTGTCTTGTAGATCAGGGTCCTTCCTCATCTGCTGTCCACTCTGTTCCATGTGTGTCCTCTTAGTGAATCCTCATGGTGCTCCACCTGCCTCATGGTGACCTTCTTCTGGACCCTCACCTGACTCAGAGCAAAGCAAACTCCTTCTTCCTCTCTCTTTCTACCTGGAGCCCCTGGCTGGGATCAGAAGTCCAGTCTTCCTATCTGCTTTCATTGACTGTTCTGTTTTTCAATAACCAATCAGAGATAACTGGGGAGCATTCTTTACACCACATTGAAACAGGAGATGGTTCAGTAATCATTACAGTGCCCATGGGCTGTTACATGTAAAATCTGTTTCTCTTTTAACATGAGGGCTGTGAGCAAGGCAAACCTGTTTGTCCTCTTTTAATAAGAGCTTTAACTAATTAATCAATCAACTGATAGATGATCTGATATGGTGGTTGGTCACCTTGGGATAAAGGAGCTAGTTGTCTGTTGTTCCCTAGGTGACAAGCTACAGTTACTTTAGCCACCAATATGATCAGAGACTTCAGAGGGATAAATTATACTCTAGATGTCCTTGAAAGGACAGAGTCTAGTCCATAGTCCATAACCTGGACTGTCTTCTGTGACTGTCTCCATGGCATTGATGGCAGAAGCAATCTTTGACCATCAGAGGAAGAGAAGACTGGAGAGAGAGTGCTAAGAGGACCCAGAGAGTGCATGGGAATCAAGAGGGGGGTAGCCAAAGTGGCTGAGTTATACAAGTGGACTAAATATTGTGAATGTAATTCTCTCTTTTAAGAAAGAATTATTTGTTTTATGTATATGAGTACACTGTAGCTGTCCTCAGACACACCAGAAGAGGGCATCAGATCCCATTACAGATGCCTCTCCTGGCCTGGAGAAGGCGAAGCTCAGGGGCCAGTGAGGTTTAGAATAGGGGGAAGGGTATGCCAGGCAGGATGACTCTGTAAGAGGAACTGTGAGTAGGACATGAGGGGACCTAGAGGCTAGCATAGACCTTGATATGCTAATAGGCATAAGAACTGGTTTAGGTTAATGGAAGACTCATATGTTCCTTCTGTGAAAGATAAGGAAAATGACTACTTTTAGCAAGTAGACGTTATCTTCTTAAGTCCTTGAGGGAATGCTGGCTTTTGTCTAAATCCCAGACTTTGGGAAAAGGAATTTCTTGCAAGTCTCGTTTTTCAAGAAAATAGAGTGAAGCCTTCAGAACCTTTTGCCTCTTACAATGAATGAAAGAAAAAAATCTGGATAAGCAGGCGTCTGAACCTCACCCCCATCCTATTCATTTTCATTCACTAAACTATACTGGAGCGCCAAGACCTGCAAAAAGTAGCCAACGCCTGGTTCAAAGACCTGGCAGCAACCACCAGCAGTTTGCTTGGCAACCAGTGACGTCTCAGCGTCGCACTCTTGACGTCATAGATGGGCGACATATTTAAAGAGAGTGCGGGACGCTGCAACTGCAGTTGAGACCTTTAACAGCCATGGAGCAAACGCAGGAGGAGCTGGAACTGAATTGTTGGACTACAGAAGACATGGACGTGCCCCAAGTGGCTCGCGCCTGGGAGTCGATGCTGAGCAGGTGAGGCCAGTCCTACATCTACACACACACACACACACACACACACGCACGCACGCACACACACACACACACACACACACACACACACACACACGGGTCTCC